TCGTGGGTTCGATCCCGGACCCTGTGAAATGTTAACTACCTCGCCTGGTCTACAGGAGGTCGTGGGTTCGATCCCGACCCTGTGAAATGTTGACTACCTCGCCTGGTATACAGGAGGTCGTGGGTTTGATCCCAGACCCTGTGAGATGTTGACTACCTCGCCTGGTATACAGGAGGTCGTGGGTTCGATCCCTGGACCCTGTGAGATGTTGACTACCTCGCCTAGTATACAGGAGGTCGTGGGTTCGATCACGGACCCTGTGAAATGTTAACTACCTCGCCTGGTCTACAGGAGGTCGTGGGTTCGATCCCAGACCCTGTGAGATGTTGACTACCTCGCCTGCTCTACAGGAGGTCGTGGGTTCGATCCCGGACCCTGTGAGATGTTGACTACCTCGCCTGGTGTACAGGAGGTCGTGGGTTCGATCCCGGACCCTGTGAGATGTTGACTACCTCGCCTGGTATACAGGAGGTCGTGGGTTCGATCCCGGACCCTGTGAAATGTTAACTACCTCGCCTGGTATACAGGACGTCGTGGGTTCGATCCCGACCCTGTGAAATGTTGACTACCTCGCATGGTATACAGGAGGTCGTGGGTTCGATCCCAGACCCTGTGAGATGTTGACTACCTCGCCAGGTGTACATGAGGTCGTGGGTTCGATCCCGACCCTTTGAAATGTTGACTACCTCGCCTGGTCTGCACCTGCCCCTACAAGCTGTAATAGGCTACACGGTGGATCTTTGTGTACCAACGTATCCGTGTCTCGTGTCTATTTGTGTCCGTGTCTATCTGTGTCCTTGTATGTCGCTGTGTCTCTGTGTGTGTCTATTTACGTCTGTTTGTGTGTCTGTGTGCGTGTGTGTCTGTGTGTGTCTCTGTGTCTTTGTGTGTCTGTCTGTGTCTCTCTGTGTGTCTCTGTGTCTGTGTGTCTCTGTCTGTGTGTGTATCTCTGTCTGTGTCTCTGTGTGTGTCTCTGTCTGTGTCTCTGTGTCTGTGTGTCTCTGTCTGTGTGTCTCTCTGTGTGTGTCTCTGTGTGTCTGTGTCTTTGTGTGTCTGTGTGTCTCTGTCTGTGTGTCTGTGTGTCTCTGTCTGTGTGTGTCTCTGTGTCTGTGTGTGTCTCTGTGTGTCTCTGTGTCTGTGTGTGTCGCTCTGTCTGTGTCTGTGTGTGTGTCCCTCTGTCTGTGTGTGCATCTGTGTGCATGTCTATTTGTGTCCTAAGACACACGAAACCCTGGTTCAATCCCTGGGTCTGGGTGTCTCTCTATCACGATGGCCGTGTCAGAGACACTTAGAGTCTGGGTTCAATCCCTGGGTCTGGGTGTCTCTCTATCACAATGTCCGTGTCAGAGACACTGAGAGTCTGGGTTCGAGCCCTGGGTCTGGGTGTCTCTCTCTATCACGATGGCCGTGTCAGAGACACTGAGAGTCTGGGTTCGAGCCCTGGGTCTGGGTGTCTCTATCACGATGGCCGTGTCAGAGACACTGAGAGTCTGGGTTCGAGCCCTGGGTCTGGGTGTCTCTATCACGATGGCCGTGTCAGAGACACTGAGAGTCTGGGTCCAATCCCTGGGTCTGGGTGTCTCTCTCTATCACGATGTCCGTGTCAGAGACACTGAGAGTCTGGGTTCAATCCCTGGGTCTGGGTGTCTCTATCACGATGGCCGTGTCAGAGACACTGAGAGTCTGGGTTCAATCCCTGGGTCTGGGTGTCTCTATCACGATGGCCGTGTCAGAGACACTGAGAGTCTGGGTTCGAGCCCTGGGTCTGGGTGTCTCTCTCTATCACGATGGCCGCGTCCTATCCTTGAGTCCGTTATAGGAGGCTCTGGTTCAAGCAGTTGTAGCAAGTGTCAAGATGATGATGATTTGGTGTTCAATGCATACATTATTCAAGAGTTTGCTTGTTTCTGTGGCCACAAATCTGCTTGGTGAATGTATCGTTTACACGTGCCTTGTGATGGCACTGTCTGTGTGTTTGTGGTGAGTCTGTGGGTCTCTGTGTGGTGAGTCTGTGGGTCTCTGTGTGGTGAGTGTGTGGGTCTCTGTGTGGCGAGTCTGTGGGTCTCTGTGTGGTGAGTCTGTGTGTTTGTGGTGAGTGTGTGGGTCTCTGTGTGGTGAGTCTGTGGGTCCCTGTGTGGTGAGTCTGTGGCTCTCTGTGTGGTGAGTCTGTGGGTCTCTGTGTGGTGAGTGTGTGGGTCTCTGTGTGGTGAGTCTGTGGGTCTCTGTGTGGTGTGTCTGTGGGTCTCTGTGTGGTGAGTCTGTGGGTCTCTGTGTGGTGAGTCTGTGGGTCTCTGTGTGGTGAGTCTGTGGGTCTCTGTGGTGAGTCTGTGGGTCTCTGTTTGGTGAGTCTGTGGGTCTCTGTTTGGTGAGTCTGTGGGTCTCTGTGTGGTGAGTCTGTGTGTTTGTGGTGAGTGTGTGGGTCTCTGTGTGGTGAGTCTGTGGGTCTCTGTGTGGTGAGTCTGTGGGTCTCTGTGTGGTGAGTCTGTGGGTCTGTGTGGTGAGTCTGTGGGTCTCTGTGTGGTGAGTCTGTGGGTCTCTGTGGTGAGTCTGTGGGTCTCTGTGGTGAGTCTGTGGGTCTCTGTGTGGTAAGTCTGTGGGTCTGTGTGGTGAGTCTGTGGGTCTCTGTGTGGTGAGTCTGTGGGTCTCTGTGGTGAGTCTGTGGGTCTCTGTGTGGTGAGTCTGTGGGTCTCTGTGTGGTGAGTCTGTGGGTCTCTGTGTGAGTGGTGAGTGTATGGGTCTCTGTGTGAGTGGTGAGTCTATGGGTCTTTGTGTGAGTGGTGAGTCTATGGGTCTCTGTGTGAGTAGTGAGTCTATGGGTCTCTGTGTGATGAGTCTGGGGCTCTCTGTGTGGTGAGTCTGTGGGTCTCTGTGTGGTGAGTCTGTGGGTCTCTGTGTGGTGAGTCTGTGGGTCTCTGTGTGGTGAGTCTGTGTGTTTGTGGTGAGTCTGTGGGTCTGTGTGGTGAGTGTGTGGTGAGTCTGTGGGTCTCTGTGTGGTGAGTCTGTGTGTTTGTGGTGAGTCTGTGGGTCTCTGTGTGGTGAGTCTGTGGGTCTCTGTGTGGTGAGTCTATGGCTCTGTGTGAGTAGTGAGTCTATGGGTCTCTGTGTGAGTGGTGAGTCTGTGGGTCTCTGTGTGAGTGGTGAGTCTATGGGTCTCTGTGTGAGTGGTGAGTCTGTGGGTCTCTGTGTGAGTGGTGAGTCTGTGGGTCTCTGTGTGAGTGGTGAGTCTATGGGTCTCTGTGTGAGTGGTGAGTCTATGGGTCTCTGTGTGAGTGGTGAGTCTATGAGTCTCTGTGTGGTGAGTGGTGAGTCTATGGGTCTCTGTGTGAGTGGTGAGTCTATGGGTCTCTGTGTGAGTGGTGAGTCTATGGGTCTCTGTGTGAGTGGTGAGTCTATGGGTCTCTGTGTGAGTGGTGAGTCTATGGATCTCTGTGTGAGTGGTGAGTCTATGGGTCTCTGTGTGAGTGGTGAGTTTATGGGTCTCTGTGTGAGTGGTGAGTCTGTGGGTTTCTGTGCGAGTGGTGAGTCTGTGGGTCTCTGTGTGAGTGGTGAGTCTATGGGTCTCTGTGTGAGTGGTGAGTCTATGGGTCTCTGTGTGAGTGGTGAGTCTATGGATCTCTGTGTGAGTGGTGAGTCTATGGGTCTCTGTGTGAGTGGTGAGTCTATGGGTCTCTGTGTGAGTGGTGAGTCTATGGGTCTCTGTGTGAGTGGTGAGTCTGTGGGTCTCTGTGTGGTGAGTCTATGGGTCTCTGTGTGGTGAGTCTATGGGTCTCTGTGTGAGTGGTGAGTCTGTGGGTCTCTGTGTGAGTGGTGAGTCTGTGGGTCTCTGTGTGAGTGGTGAGTCTGTGGGTCTCTGTGTGAGTGGTGAGTCTATGGGTCTCTGTGTGAGTGGTGAGTCTATGGGTCTCTGTGTGAGTGGTGAGTCTATGGGTCTCTGTGTGAGTGGTGAGTCTGTGGGTCTCTGTGTGAGTGGTGAGTCTGTGGGTCTCTGTGTGAGTGGTGAGTCTGTGGGTCTCTGTGTGAGTGGTGAGTCTATGGGTCTCTGTGTGAGTGGTGAGTCTATGGGTCTCTGTGTGAGTAGTGAGTCTATGGGTCTCTGTGTGAGTGGTGAGTCTATGGGTCTCTGTGTGAGTGGTGAGTCTATGGGTCTCTGTGTGAGTGGTGAGTCTATGGGTCTCTGTGTGAGTGGTGAGTCTATGGGTCTCTGTGTGAGTGGTGAGTCTATGGGTCTCTGTGTGAGTGGTGAGTCTATGGGTCTCTGTGTGAGTGGTGAGTCTGTGGGTCTCTGTGCGAGTGGTGAGTCTGTGGGTCTCTGTGTGAGTGGTGAGTCTATGGGTCTCTGTGTGAGTGGTGAGTCTATGGATCTCTGTGTGAGTGGTGAGTCTATGGGTCTCTGTGTGAGTGGTGAGTCTATGGGTCTCTGTGTGAGTGGTGAGTCTGTGGGTCTCTGTGTGAGTGGTGAGTCTGTGGGTCTCTGTGTGAGTGGTGAGTCTGTGGGTCTCTGTATTGACACCCCTGTCTCTCTCTGTCTCTCTTTCTCTGTCTCTCTCTGTCTCTCTGTCTCTCTGTCTCACTGTCTGTCTCTCTGTCTCACTCTCTGTCTCACTCTCTGTCTCTCTCTGTCTCTCTCTGTCTCTCTCTCTCTGTCTCTCTCTCTCTGTCTCTCTGTCTCTCTCTCTGTCTCTTTGCCTCTCTCTCTGTCTCTGTCCCTGTCTCTCTCTCTGTCTCTCTCTCTGTCTCTGTCCCTGTCTCTCTCTCTGTCTCTCTCTCTGTCTCTCTCTCTGTCTCTCTCTCTGTCTCTCTGTCTCTCTCTCTGTCTCTCTCTCTCTGTCTCTTTGTCTCTCTCTCTGTCTCTGCCCCTGTCTCTCTCTCTCTCTGTCTCTCTCTCTGTCTCTCTCTCTGTCTCTGTCTCTCTCTCTCTGTCTCTCTCTTTCTCTCCCCCTCTCTTCCCCCCTCTCTCCCCCCCTCTCCCCCCCTCTCCCCCCACCCCCGGTGCCCTGCAGGTGATAGTGGAGAAGGCCCCGAAGGCCCGGATAGGGGACCTGGATAAGAAGAAATATCTGGTGCCCTCCGACCTCACGGTGGGACAGTTCTATTTTCTCATTCGCAAGAGGATCCATCTTCGCGCTGAAGATGCCCTTTTCTTCTTTGTGAACAACGTCATCCCGCCCACCAGTGCCACCATGGGGCAGCTGTACCAGGCACGGTGCACGCACGCCGAGCGGGGACGGGGAGGCGTGGACTCACTCAGAGTCGGACTCACTCACACAGACAGACGTAGACTCACACACACAGACATAGACTCACACTCACACACATAGACTCACTCACACGGACTCATAGACTCACTCACACAGACATAGACTCACACACACATAGTCATAGACTCACTCACACACAGACAGACTCACTCACACACAGTCATAGACTCACACACACAGACATAGACTCACACTCACAGACGTAGACTCACACAGTCATAGACTCACACACACACAGACTCATAGACTCACACACACACAGACTCATAGACTCACACTCACACAGACAGACTCACTCACACACAGTCATAGACTCACACACACAGACTCATAGACTCACTCACACAGACATAGACTCACACAGTCATAAACTCACTCACACACAGTCATAGACTCACTCACACACAGAGACTCACTCACACAGAGTCATAGACTCACTCACACAGACATAGACTCACACAGTCATAAACTCACTCACACACAGTCATAGACTCACTCACACACAGAGACTCACTCACACACAGTCATAAACTCACACTCACACAGACGTAGACTCACTCACACACAGACATAGACTCACACAGACATAGACTCACTCACACAGACATAGACTCACTCACACAGACATAGACTCACACAGTCATAGACTCACGCAGACATAGACTCACTCTCACAGACATAGACTCACTCACACGGCCTCATAGACTCACTCACACAGTCATAGACTCACACACACAGACATAGACTCACTCACACAGACATAGACTCACTCACACGGACTCATAGACTCACTCACACAGTCATAGACTCACTCACACAGACATAGACTCACTCACACGGACTCATAGACTCACTCACACAGTCATAGACTCACTCACACATTCATAGACTCACGACAACAATCACAAATTCATAGACTCACAACAATCACACAGTCATAGACTCACACAGACGTAGACTCACTCACACAGACGTAGACTCACTCACACAGACTCATAGACTCACTCACACAGCCATAGACTCACACAGACATAGACTCACTCACACAGACATAGACTCACTCACACAGACATAGACGCACACACACAGACATAGACTCACTCACACAGACATAGACTCACACAGACATAGACTCACTCACACAGACATAGACTCACTCACACAGATATAGACTCACACAGACATAGACTCACTCACACACAGACATAGACTCACACAGTCATAGACTCACTCACACACAGACATAGACTCACTCACAAAGACAGACTCACTCACATAGAGAGACATAGACTCACTCCCCGTGTGTCTCTCCCCGTGTCTCTCGCTCGCCGTGTGTCTCTCTCTCCCCGTGTCTCTCTCCCCGTGTCTCTCTCCCCGTGTCTCTCTCACCGTGTGTCTCTCCCCGTGTCTCTCTCACCGTGTCTCTCCCTCACCGTGTCTCTCTCCCCGTGTGTCTCTCTCCCCGTGTGTCTCTCTCCCCGTGTGTCTCTCTCCCCGTGTGTCTCTCTCCCCGTGTGTCTCTCTCCCCGTGTGTCTCTCTCCCCGTGTGTCTCTCTCCCCGTGTCTCTCTCACCGTGTGTCTCTCACCGTGTGTGTCTCTCTCACCGTGTCTCTCTCACCGTGTGTCTCTCTCACCGTGTGTCCCTCTCACCGTGTCTCCGTGTACCTGTCCCCGTGTCTCTCTCACCGTGTCTCTGTCCCCGTGTCTCTGTGTCTCTGTGTCTCTCTCACCGTGTCCCCGTGTCTCTCTCACCGTGTCCCCGTGTCTCTGTGTCTCTGTGTCTCTCTCAACGTGTCCCCGTGTCTCTCTCACCGTGTCTCTCTCACCGTGTCTCTCTCACCGTGTCTCTCTCACCGTGTCCCCGTGTCTCTGTGTCCCCGTGTCTCTCTCACGTGTCCCCGTGTCTCTGTGTCCCCGTGTCTCTCTCACCGTGTCTCTCTCACCGTGTCTCTTTCACCGTGTCCCCGTGTCTCTCTCACCATGTCCCCGTGTCTCTCTCACCGTGTCTCTCTCACCGTGTCCCCGTGTCTCTCTCACCGTGTCTCTCTCACCGTGTCCCCGTGTCTGTGTCTCCGTGTCTCTCTCACCGTGTCTCTCTCACCGTGTCTCTGTCCCCGTGTCTCTCTCACCGTGTCTCTCTCACCGTGTCTCTCTCACCGTGTCTCTGGCTCCGTGTCTCTCTCACCGTGTCCCCGTGTCTCTGTGTCTCCGTGTCTCTCACCGTGTCTCCGTGTCTCTCTCACCGTGTCCCCGTGTCTCTGTGTCTCCGTGTCTCTCTCACCGTGTCTCCGTGTCTCTCACTGTGTCCCCGTGTCTCTGTGTCCGTGTCTCTCTCACCGTGTCTCCGTGTCTCTCACCGTGTCTCTCTCACCGTGTCCCCGTGTCTCTCTCACCGTGTCCCCGTGTCTCTGTCTCCGTGTCTCTCTCACCGTGTTTCCGTGTCTCTCTCACCGTGTCTCTCTCACCGTGTTTCCGTGTCTCTCTCACCGTGTCTCTCTCACCGTGTTTCCGTGTCTCTCTCACCGTGTCTCTCTCACCGTGTCTCCGTGTCTCTCTCACCGTGTCCCCGTGTCTCTGTGTCTCCGTGTCTCTCTCACCGTGTCCGTGTCTCTCTCACCGTGTCCGTGTCTCTCTCACCGTGTCCGTGTCTCTCTCACCGTGTCCGTGTCTCTCTCACCGTGTCCCCGTGTCTCTCTCACCGTGTCTCTGTCTCCGTGTCTCTCTCACCGTGTCTCCGTGTCTCTCTCACCGTGTCCCCGTGTCTCTGTGTCCCCGTGTCTCTCTCACCGTGTCTCTCTCACCGTGTCTCCGTGTCTCTCTCACCGTGTCTCCGTGTCTCTCTCACCGTGTCCCCGTGTCTCTCTGTCTCCGTGTCTCTCACCGTGTCCCCGTGTCTCTCTCACCGTGTCCCCGTGTCTCTGTGTATCCGTGTCTCTCTCACCATGTCCCCGTGTCTCTCCCCGTGTTTCTGTGTCTCCGTGTCTCTCTCACCGTGTCTCCGTGTCTCTCTCACCGTGTCCCCGTGTCTCTGTGTCTCCGTGTCTCTCTCACCGTGTCCCCGTGTCTCTCCCCGTGTCTCCGTGTCTGTTTCCGTGTCTCTCTCACCGTGTCCCCGTGTCTCTCTCACCGTGTCCCCGTGTCTCTCTCACCGTGTCCCCGTGTCTCTGTGTATCCGTGTCTCTCTCACCATGTCCCCGTGTCTCTCCCCGTGTCTCTGTGTATCCGTGTCTCTCTCACCGTGTCTCTCTCACCGTGTCTCCGTGTCTCTCTCACCGTGTCCCCGTGTCTCTGTGTCTCTGTGTCTCCGTGTCTCTCTCACCGTGTCCCCGTGTCTCTCTCACCGTGTCCCCGTGTCTCTCTCACCGTGTCCCCGTGTCTCTCTCACCGTGTCCCCGTGTCTCTGTGTCTCCGTGTCTCTCTCACCGTGTCCCCGTGTCTCTCTCACCGTGTCTCTGTGTCCCCGTGTCTCTGTGTCCCCGTGTCTCTCTCACCGTGTCTCCGTGTCTCTCTCACCGTGTCTCTCTCACCGTGTCTCTATCACCGTGTCTCTCACCATGTCCCCGTGTCTCTCTCACCGTGTCTCTGTGTCCCCGTGTCTCTGTGTCCCCGTGTCTCTCTCACCGTGTCTGTGTCTCTCTCACCGTGTCTCCGTGTCTCTCTCACCGTGTCTCTCTCACCGTGTCTCCGTGTCTCTCTCACCGTGTCTCTCTCACCGTGTCTCTGTCCCCGTGTCTCTGTGTCTCTCTCACCGTGTCCCCGTGTCTCTCTCACCGTGTCTCTGTGTCTCTCTCACCGTGTCTGTCACCGTGTCCCCGTGTCTCTGTGTCTCTCTCACCGTGTCTCCGTGTCTCTCTCACCGTGTCTCTCTCACCGTGTCTCTGTGTCTCTCACCGTGTCCCCGTGTCTCTCTCACCATGTCTCTCTCACCGTGTCCCCGTGTCTCTCTCACCGTGTCCCCGTGTCTCCGTGTCTCTCTCACCGTGTCTCTGTCCCCGTGTCTCTCTCACCATGTCCCCGTGTCTCTCTCCCCGTGTCTCTGTGTCTCCGTGTCTCTCACCGTGTCCCCGTGTCTCTCACCGTGTCCCCGTGTCTCTCACCGTGTCCCCGTGTCTCTCACCGTGTCCCCGTGTCTCTGTGTCTCCGTGTCTCTCTCACCGTGTCCCCGTGTCTCTCACCGTGTCCCCGTGTCTCTGTGTCCCCGTGTCTCTGTGTCTCCGTGTCTCTCTCACCGTGTCCCCGTGTCTCTCACCGTGTCCCCGTGTCTCTGTGTCCCCGTGTCTCTGTGTCTCCGTGTCTCTCTCACCGTGTCTCTGTCTCTCTCACCGTGTCCCCGTGTCTCTCTCACCGTGTCTCCGTGTCTCTGTCTCCGCAGGAGCATCACGAGGAGGATTTTTTCCTCTACATCGCCTACAGCGACGAGAGCGTCTACGGAGCCTGACACACTCGCTGACACACTCACTGACACACTCACACACCCACCCACTCACTGACACACTCACTCAATCACCCGCTCACTCACTCACTGACATGCTCACTCACTCACTGACACACTCACTCACTGACACACTCACTCACTCACCCACTCACCCACCCACTCACTCACTGGCACGCTCACTCACTCACTGACATGCTCACACACTCACTGACACACTCACACACTGACACACTCACTCACTGACACTCACACACTGACACTCACTGACACACACACACTGACACACTCACTCAGTGACACACTCACTGACACACTCACACACTGACACTCACTCACTGACACACACTGACACACTCACTGACACACTCACTGACACACTCACTGACACACTCACTGACACTCACTTGCACTTGTGCACCCACTCACACACCCAACAACAACAACCGCCATTCGCCACTAAGTGGTGGTGACGTCACCACGACGCTTGTGCCAGGCCATGTGCACACACACCCACCAACTAATCCATCCACACCCTCGCACACACCCATTCACCTACACACACCCACACACCTACACACACCCACACATCTACTCACACCTACACACACCCACACATCTACTCACACCCACACATCTACTCACACCCACACATCTACTCACACCTACACACACCCACACACCTACACACACCCACACACCTACTCACACCTACTCACACCTACACACTCACACACTTACTCACACCTACACACTCACACACTTACTCACACCTACACACTCACACCTGCACACCTACACACTCACACCCCCACCGACTTTGTAGTGCAAAGTAAACACGAGCACTTTAAAGCCACGCCTCTTTCACATTGCCCCCGGGTGGGGGATTGCCTCGCTCTTTGATTGGTTAATACCGGGCCGAGGGGGGGGCGTGGTCACAGCTTTCAGGACCACGCCTACCCCCAACTGTAGTTCAACCCCCTTTATCCCCCAAAATGGGAGTTATCCTCTGATTGGTTCCTTGCTGGCATGAGATGGGCGTTTCCTAACATCCGCAACTCCCCACCCATCACGAGAATTCCCTATTCTGATTGGTTCATTGGTGGGTGGGGGTGGCGAGGTGGGCGTGTCCCAAAACCATAGATCCACCCTCCCACCCCGTGAATTCCCCGCTCTGATTGGTTTATTGTTGAGTGGGGGGGGGGTACATGGCGTGTCCCAGCAACCCTAGCCCCACCCCGGGAATTCCCCGCTCTGATTGGGTTAGTGTTGAGTGGGGGGTGGGTGAGTACGTGGTGGGCGTGTACCAGCAACCCTAGCTCCACCCCGGGAATTCCCCGCTCTGATTGGTTTATTGTTGAGTGTGGGGGTGGTGGGAACGTGGTGGGCGTGTCCCAGCAACCCCAGCTCCACCCTCTTCACCCACCCCTGAAATTCCCCTCTGTCTGATTGGTTAATCGCTGGTTGGAATGGAAGACGCCTATCAGCCGGACCGGTCCATTTGTCCAATCCCATCGCGGGGGTGTTTTGTGGTGTCATTGAGTGTTCGACTGATTGGTTCATCTCTCCCAACTCCCGCCCCCCCCCCCTCTTAACCAACCCCTCTCCCCCCTCAATAAATTTGAAGTTGGTATCGTCCAGCCACGTTGTGTTCGGGTATCTCTCCATGCTGAGTGGTCTTTAAAAATTCAGTTTTCATTTATTTTTTTGGTGTAAAGGCCTGTGAGCCATTCGGCTCTTGAATCGGAGTGCAACCACAACAAATAAAACTAAAAACACGAACGAGAACGGAACATCTTAAAGCGACTACTACGTGTGTGTGTGTGTTGACTGTGCAAAGCAGAAAATAGATTGGGGTGGGAAAAAATATTCCCGGAAAAAATTAAAATGCCACCGCGTACACCGCCAAACGCTGCGTGCCAATAAATCCCAGTGGGATGCAAAGTCAAACAACCACAACAACCACAAGACAACTTAGATTAAGGCCATCAGTCTAACTCCGTACTACAACAACCACAAGACAACTTAGACTAAGGCCATCAGTCTAACTCCGTACTACAACAACCACCACAAGACAACTTTATATTAAGGCCATCAGTCTAACTCCGTACTACAACAACAACCACAAGACAACTTAGATTAAGGCCATCAGTCTAACTCCGTACTACAACAACAACCACAAGAAAACTTAGATTAAGGCCATCAGTCTAACTCCGTACTACAACAACAACCACAAGACAACTTAGATTAAGGCCATCAGTCTAACTCCGTACTACTACAACAACCACAAGACAACTTTAGATTAAGGCCATCAGTCTAACTCCGTATTACAACAACCACAAGACAACTTAGATTAAGGCCATCAGTCTAACTCCGTACTACAACAACCACAAGACAACTTAGATTAAGGCCGTCAGTCTAACTCCGTACTACAACAACAACCAACACAAGACAACTTAGATTAAGGCCATCAGTCTAACTCCGTTACTACAACAACAACCACAAGACAACTTAGATTAAGGCCATCAGTCTAACTCCGTACTACAACAACAACAAGACAACTTAGATTAAGGCCATCAGTCTAACTCCGTACTACAACAACCACCACAAGACAACTTAGATTAAGGCCGTCAGTCTAACTCCGTACTACAACAACAACCAACACAAGACAACTTAGATTAAGGCCATCAGTCTAACTCCGTATTACAACAACCACAAGACAACTTAGATTAAGGCCATCAGTCTAACTCCGTACTACAACAACCACAAGACAACTTAGATTAAGGCCGTCAGTCTAACTCCGTACTACAACAACAACCAACACAAGACAACTTAGATTAAGGCCATCAGTCTAACACCGTTACTACAACAACAACCACAAGACAACTTAGATTAAGGCCATCAGTCTAACTCCGTACTACAACAACAACCACAAGACAACTTTAGATTAAGGCCGTCAGTCTAACTCCGTACTACAACAACAACCACAAGACAACTTTAGATTAAGGCCATCAGTCTAACTCCGTACTACAACAACAACCACAAGACAACTTAGATTAAGGCCATCAGTCTAACTCCGTACTACAACAACCACCACAAGATAACTTAGATTAAGGCCATCAGTATAACTCCATACTACAACAACCACCACAAGACAACTAAGATTAAGGCCATCAGTCTAACTCCGTACTACAACAACCACAACAAGACAACTTAGATTAAGGCCGTCAGTCTAACTCCGTACTACAACCACAAGACAACTTAGATTAAGGCCGTCAGTCTAACCCCGTATTACAACAACAACCACAAGACAACTTAGATTAAGGCCATCAGTCTAAACTCGGTACTACAACAACAACCACAAGACAACTTAGATTAAGGCCATCAGTCTAAACTCGGTACTACAACAAAACAAACACGTCCAAACAAAAAAAAACGTTTTGGAAATCACCAAAAAATAAAGCCATAATTGCAACGTAACGGTGAATCACAGGGACTGTGACCGAATTTTTTAGCAATAAACTACATAAACCACAATATAACACCAAATCCTAGAGCCATAGCTGGCTGCATGAGTTACTCCACAACAACAGAAGCATCATTGTTTTTAATTTAAAGCTTTCGTGACTACAAGGATTATTATTCTTGGTTCTTTCGGTAAAGTCACCACCACGTATAGATAGGGAAACAATAAAATAATAAAAATATAAAACAATAAAATTATTGTAAAACAAAATTATTATTCTTGGTTCTTTGGGTAAAGTCACCACCACGTAGATAGGGAAACAATAAAATAATAAAAATCTAAAACAATAAAATTATTATTCTTGGTTATTTCGGTAAAGTCACCACCACGCATAGATAGGGAAGCAATAAAATAATAAAAATATAAAACAATAAAAATTATTATTCTTGGTTCTTTCGGTAAAGTCACCACCACGTAGAAGGAGACCCATACCCATAGAGACCCATAGAGACCCACACTCATAGAGACCCATAGAGACCCACAGAGACCCATAGAGACCCATAGAGACCCACACTCATAGAGACCCATAGAGACCCATACTCATAGAGACCCACAGAATCAGAATCAGAAAGGGTTTTATTCGCCATGTAAGTTCACACCGACACGGAATTTACTTTGGCAGGATGGTGCATACATTCAACATATAGGAATCTAAAATCTTAAATAAGTTTTAAACAAGTCTTACTATAATAAGGGTTAAAAGTCTAACACCAAGGGGCTGAAGTATATAAAATTAAATACATATCGAATATAAAATAGCTTTAAGATATAATTTAAAAATAAAAAATACAAATAGGGTAACATAGTTAATATCGGCAAGGTGTCGTTATGTAGATCAAATGTTAAAAACAGTGTTAGCCCTTGGCCTTGTTTAACAGGCCAGCAGCAGATGGGAAGAAACTGTTTTTATGGCGTGAGGTTTTGGTCCTGATGGACCGAAGCCTTCTGCCGGAGGGGAGTAGCTGAAACAGAGAGTGTCCAGGGTGGGAGAAATCGGCCATAATCTTCCTCGCTCGCCTCATGGACCTTGTCGTGTGCAGGTCCTCGAGGGTTGGTAGATTGCAGGCAATCACCTTCTCAGCAGTGTGGATGATACGCTGCAGTCTGCTCTTGTCCTTGGCAGTGGCAGCAGCGTACCAGACGGTTATGGAGGAGGTGAGGATGGATTCAATGATCGCTGTATAGAATTGCACCATCATTGTCTTTGGCAGGTTGAATTTCTTCAGCTGCCGTAGAAAGTACATCCTCTGTTGAGCTTTCTTGGTGAGGGAGCTGATGTTCAATTCCCACTTGAGGTCCCGGGAGAGAATAGTGCCCAGGAAGCGGAAGGACTCTACAATTTTTACTGGGGAGTCTAACAGGGTGATGGGGGTGAGTGGTGCTGTATTCTTCCTGAAGTCCACAACCATCTCAACTGTCTTTAGAGCATTTAGCTCTAAGTTGTTCTGGCTACACCAGGTCACCAGATTGTCAGCTTCCCACCTATAGTCAGACTCATCCCCACCAGAGATCAGCCCAATGAGGGTGGTGTCATCCGCAAACTTCAATAGGTTGACGGACAGATGATTGGAGGTGCAGCTGTTGGTATACAGGGAGAAGAGCAGAGGGGAAAGGACGCAGCCCTGAGGAGTTCCGGTGCTGATGGACCTGGAGCCAGAGACTTGTGTTCCCAGCTTAACGCACTGCTTCCTGTCAGACAGGAAGTCTGTGATCCAT